ACAATTCACTGAGAAATATTACACTTTTGCTTATAAAGTTTTTTCATTTGAGCTTGTAAAATATGCCAAAAGGAAAAGTTATCATCACACAGAATGGTCCATTCATCCTGTATAGTGTATATATTATATTACTGGCAAATTACTCTAATGTTGCAGCTGGTACAGGTGGGGGTAGTATTAGTTACTTTCTATTCTGCTGGGTTTCTTATCTGAATCTATGATTACATGTTAGTTGATTTATATTTTATATTAATCTAACTGTATAGTAACTAAAGTTATCAAATGAATGTAGTGGAATAAAAAGTACAGTATTTGTGGAGTATAAGTATAAAGTAGCATGAATTGGAAATACTTTTTACAAGTACAAATACCTCAAAACTGTAGTTCTGGTTAAATATTAGTGCATCAGTATAAAAAATATAAATGAATAAAATAGATAAAACAATCTGACAGGTGTCATCATACATGAGTACTTTCACTTTAGATACTTTTTGTGCTTTCATTTTTAGTACTATTACATCAGCTTAAAATACTTAAAGTATCAAAAGTAAAAGTATTGTATTATATGTGCTCTATTGTTGAAATTCCACTACTGATTACTGATACTATTATTATTCTAACTCTCTTGCATTCAAGAGCACATGAAAAAAAAAGGTTTAGTATAAGTATACAAGAATGGTGTTCAAATATGAATAGTAAATTAGAGACACACGATAACAGCATGTCCCAAACTATAAAGGAAGGACACACCAAGATTAGTGCACTAGGGCAAACTGTTTGACATGCTCTGTGGTAAAGGTACACATCAGTGAGCACACAGCTAACATCTAACTGACAACAAACATAACTGAAGCATTACGAGCCCTGCAGACCTTCTAGCAAATGTGTCACTTTTCCATTATGCTGTTTCAGGTAGAGTTCCTGCATTACAAGTCGGAACAAAGTTAGAAAGAAGGCAAGTTATTTCTTCAGCAGCCTCCCTTGGGATAGCATGTTTTATTATATTTTTGCAGTGTCCAGACACATTGCAGTGGGGAGAGAAACAATCCAATCAGTGAATAACACATGATATACACAGATCCTTATGGGACTCTAAGGCATTAAAGAGCCACAAGTTCCACTTGAAAAATGTCTAAGACATGAAATATTCTAATAAGTGAAAAAAAAAATAAAGGAGTAAATTTTACTTAAAGACAAATAAGGATTATAGTGGATCATTTCTGCCCACGAGCCAAACACTCCACATTGAATCTGGAGCACTTCGACAAAATACAGTTTAGCTGAACTTAATTGTTATTTTTAAAATCGTCCTCAATGAGATTTAATTTAGAAAGGAACATAATCAAAATATTAAATGTAAAAAATGCAAAAATATGAACCAGAAGCTGTACATTACACATTTCTTTTGACAAACTGTCTAAACATTCAGACATAGTAGCTCTACTAGGCATCTAATATGCTTCAAAATATGTACTTAACCCAATCTGTTTTGAAAAAAAAAAAAACAAGGAAAAAAAAAAAACATAAAAAACTTTTTTTTTTAACCACAAAGTGAGTTGAACAACTCAAGACACCAAGTAATAAATTCACACCACACGCATTTCAAGCTTAAAAAAAAAAAACTGAATCAAATCATTTAAAAAGTTAATCAAAACATTTTTTTTACAAATAAACTATGTTTATGTGACAAAGGGTGTAATGGATTTAACAACATTTGGTTAGTCAATTTAGGAGATGTGTCTGTTTGTCCAGAATTTCAACAGCTCATAATCAAAACGCAACTTTAAATCCAAAACTTGCTAAAACGTCATTCTCAAAACCATTTTCAAACTCATCTGAAACCATCATCTGGAGCATAAGATCTCCAATGTTAAAAGAAAAAAGGACAATTCCTGACTAAAATCTTCAAAAATCATACACTTTCTGCAAGGTCCCCCATGTCTCAATTATCTCTTTGCACTTGGGTTTTCAGGCTTTTCCTCCGGGTGGCTTTTCTCGTGAGCTTTTAAGGTGCGCTCGCGACCAAAGCTCTTCCCGCAGGTTGAACAGGCGAAGCGGCCCACGGCGTGAGCCCGTGACATGTGGGCATCCAGCTGCTCCTGACGGGCGAAGCTCTCTTCACATTCTTCGCAGGGATAGGCCTTCCGCGGGGTGTGTTTCTCTTTCTTGTGAGCACGGAGCTGGATCAGGCCAGGGAACGTGAGGTCACATTCGGGACAGGGGTGCTGACGGGACGGGGCGGGATCTGCTTTAGGTTTCTTCTCCTTTCCTGGAGCTTGGCTGTCATCCTCGGGACTCTTTTTATCTTCTGTTTCGGATTTCGCGGGCGCTTTAGAAGGACGACCACGCTTCGCTGCCGCTGCTTTCCCTTTTTCCTCTGCTGGGGGGGCTGCCGGCTCTGATGTGCTGCTGGCCTTCACTGGCTCCTCGGGCGCCTCTGCCTCATCCTTCTTTTTCCGCTTTCCCTTTTTCTCAGCGACCGCCACTTCTTCGATTTTGGAAGGCCGCCCGCGTTTCTTGACGGACGAAGCACTGCCGTTGCACTGCTGACCTTCGGGGTACTTCTCCTGGTGCGCTACCAGCTCAGATTCTGTGTCAAAGCCCTGACCACACTTCTTACAGCGGTGGGTTTTCGTAGGATCCTCCGGCTGTTCTGCAGTGTCTACGTCTGGGCGGGGGTGATGGGTCAGGCGATGAGCGCGCAGCAAACCAGCACTCCGGAAGGTCTCGTTGCAATCTTTACATACCAGCTGTTTCTCTGGACACACCTGTCTTCTATGGGCTGTGAGCTGCAAAGGTGGGAAGTAAGAAGTTGAACAGAAACATTTAGTATAAAGCAAAGAATGTGCTTCGTATTTTGGCATTCATGACGTTATTCAGTTTAAATACTGCCAGTAAAAAAAACCAAAGATGCTTTAACATTACACTCACTTCAGAGAAGGTTTTAAAGCTCTCCTTGCAGTGAACGCATTTGAAGGGCTTGTCGTCCTTGCTGTGTATTGGCTGGTGTTGTGTCAGTTCCTCAGATGACAGAAATGTGCGGTCACACACATAACAAGTGAACAGTGTGTTTCCCTGGAAAGACATAAAAAGAGGGACTGAATGTTAAAACAATTCAAGACCAAGAACAGGGAGTTCGTCTCTGGTTATTGACAACTAACGCAGTAACATGTATAAAATGTATATATTGTAAATACAGTGCATATTCTCTTGAATACACTCAAGCAGCATCAAGCTCAATATATTTTAGAAAATATCAACCTTGAATTTTATAATATAACTTACTTAAATACAAGCTAGGGAATGTCACTATAATTTTTTTTCTTGCATCCATTACCTTTACAGCA